TGTTGGTGGCTACCGAAGCTGCAGGAAATCTGTCCGACCAACAGCACGGGTTCAGACGAGGGCGCTCTACGATACGCCCCATCCGGGAGGTTATCAGAGCCGTCGACAGAGCGAGCGAGGCATGCTACGCGGCCTTCTTGTGACCCTCGACGTCAAGAATGCGTTTAACTCGGTAAGATGGGCTGACATCCTGGACGCGCTGGAAAACACTTTTAAAGTCCCCAAATACCTTACCCGTATGGTAAGGGACTACCTTAAGGACCGTTACATCCTATACGAGATAACAAGCGGGCAGAAATCCAAGCCAGTCACCGCCGGTGTTGCACAGGGTTCAATACTAGGAGCAGATTTCTGGAACGCAGTATGCTAAGGACAGATGCCGGAAGGCACTCTCCTGGTCGGATACGCAGACGACACCGGTCGTCTTAGAAGCCCGTAGCGTTGAGATAGCCCAACTAAGACAACCAGGTGATGAGGCGAGTTAGTGACTGGATGGAAGGCAATAGCCAAACCGTCCACAAAGTATCTGGGGGTAACCCTTGACACGAAACTGACTCTCTGGCCCCACATTAAGAAGACCGCCAACAAAGCTGCAACCACAACCGCAGAACTGAGCAGATTGATGGCCGATGTAGACGGCTCATGGCCGAACAAAAGGAGACTGCTGATGTCGACAGTACAGCCAATGCTATTGTACGGAGCTGAAGTGCGGGCCGAAGCGATGACTGAAAAAATACAGAACACGGATCACAGCTGTTCAGCGTAGGGGAGCACTAGGGGTGGCATGCTCTTACCGAACAGTCTCCGAAGACGCCATCTTTGTGATCGCCGGAGCAATACCGATCGACCTTCACGCGCTGGAGCGCAAGCGAATTTATGACAGGAGCGCAGGCGACGGCAGAGTGAAAGCGGCACACGAGGAGCGGAAAGAGACAATGGAGCGTTGGCAGGAACGCTGGAACGACGGGGCCAAAGGGAGGTGGACACACCGACTTATTAAGAAGTTGCCGCCATGGGTGCAACGGGAGTTTGGGGAAGTGAACTACCTTTCCCAGTTCCTGACAGGACACAGCTACTTCAGGGACTATCTCTACCGCATGTGGGGAAAAAGAATGTGGGGGAAAAGAAAAACTCGATAAACTGGAGGAAACGACAGGTAGTCTCACGACAGAGAATATTGTTGATACAATGCTAAGAAATGAGAAGCCCTGGAACGCAATTTTCCACTTCATAGAAAGCGTTCTGCGGGCAAAGAAGGAAGAAGGCTTTCTAAGCGATTGCGTATAAGGACGGAACAAATGAAGAGGCGCCCATCAAGAAAGGCCCCAGCCTGAAGTAATGCGAAAGTGGTCCCAGGCTGAGGTCAGAAGAAGAAACAGGTGGTTGTTTTTAGTGAGGTTGCCTAGCAAGAGGTAATCCCACATTGTTGAGCAACCGGTCCCGCTCTTCGCCTTTTGAAGGGTTTTTTTCCACCTGGCAAAAAATAAAAAAATTAAAAATAATAATAATAATAATAATAATAATAATAATAATAATAATAATAATAATAATACCTTCAAAATCACCCTTTAATACAAAACTGTTTTTAACACATTATTCTACTACAAAGTAGACATACTTTTGTAATACTTTCAACTCCAATGATTGATTACTATATCAATTAGATAACATTAATTGTTTCAAAATATACTGCTTTCTCACACACAATCTATTTCATTACTCTTCTCACAACACAACATCATGTTGCTATGCTCTCATCATGAAGGCAAATCCCTAACAATTCACGGCTGCTTCTTAAAACGTTCACTCCAGTTATACTTACCTGTACAACACCACTATAAGAACCTATACTTTCATTTTCAATAAACAGATATCAGAAAAATAACAACTGATCAAATGTAAAAGAATACTAGAGTTGTTGAAGTTGTTTCTTTGGGGGACAGAAATCTCTAAAATAATGAGAACCTGAAAAGTAGTTTGTAATGTATGATAACAGTTTGATTGATAACAAACTGTGACTTTTATCTTTTATTTCTAACAAATATTATCTATAGAAAGTTTTCAATATTTGGAAAGCATTAAAAATACTTTAGCCATTTATGGGAATAAAAGACAATGAGAAGTACATTTTCACAGAATTTACTAAAAGGCTCTTTAAATATGCAATTATAGGCAAATAAAGCCTAGAAGATGCTGTATGGATTGCTTCCACTATCATTAATGACTATAATTATAAATTAAAATTGCCTTCTGAGTTGGAAGCCACAGACAATCAATGAGCATGTTTTTAGATGTTTTATCTAAGAACTACGACTTCAGTGGCAATCAGTGGCAGAATGATTATAGGCAGAAATCCTCTTGAATGGTTTACAGATGACTTTTGCCAGATACCTAGGCCTCCAACCTGGGAAAATATGTTTAATAGTAACCAGAGCCAAGAAAGTCTACATTGTTTCATTCATGTCTGTAATGCTTTCTTTTCTCAAAACGGTGTAATTACACTACGATTGCAACAACCTTTTAAAATTTGTAAGTACATTTTTGTCCATGGTTATCCTTCCTGAATGTAAGAACATAAATAAATATTCTATAAATATAATAAAATTATGTATCAACAACCAGTGCATAATTTTATTGTCACATAAACTTATAGCTACATGTTTGCACTGTTGAACAATACTGATTCAGTTAACATTTTAAAACAACAATGAACATCATTGTCTGAGACATTAAACACTATTCATTCTGTTTTGTTTTATTTTTGACACATTTTCAAATCCACTGTTTCTTAATAGCACTTCCACCAAATCTAATTTTCCATTAATATCATTAACAATTTTATTAAAAATAATGTACATATTTATCTAAACATGAAAGTTAAAGAGAAAGAAAACTTTGTATTGTCTGTAAATATGAACTTGTACTTTTCATCCAGTACCAGTTTCAAGCAATAACATTCACACATTCATTTTATATTTACTCTTGCAATGCTTATTGCTCCTTTGGAGTTATTTCAGAGAAAGTAGCTTGTAATGAAGAGGCTGAATAAATTTCATAAAATATTATGTGTATATGTTGCACATTTAAATTGAATCTCATAAAAATATATATATTTTGGCTTACTGGTGCACAAACACTTTGTAAATGATTAAGTAGTTAATTAAACAAATATTTCTTTCTAAACTCAATATTCAAATAATAAAATATCAATTTTGACCTGTTCTGAAGTGGTGGTTATTACAAAATTTATCTTTTCAAATGTAGAACTACAAATACTATAAAAAATAAGCATTCGGGTATCTGTAGAATGGAATGTAGACATAATCAGATATCAATTTAAAAGAGTTGATGTAGTTATTTATCCAATTTGTATAATGTGTAACAAAGAATTTTTTAAACTTTCTTTACAAAATTAAGTGTCATTAGTATTGTCTAGAACTAAAAAAGTACATTACATATAAAACAAGATTTAACCCTTGCAATACCAAGGAAGGCAGTTTTGAAGCCTGCTACAATTTATTTTTTTGCCAACTAACTGCACAAATATAGTTACAATTAACATTGTTATTAAATACATCTTAAATTGCTTTGTTTACAGAACAAAATAATTTGTAGTTACTCCATAAACACTGGTAATGACATTGGGAAGGAACACATCAATTGGAATATCCTTCAGAATTCTGTTTATTCAAGTTTTCTAGGAAAATAGAGTAATGTAATTAAATCACCCACAATCTTTATTTTGCATTCTGAAAATAATTATTAAAGTGCTTAGTGGGTTTAGTAGACAGGTTGCAGGAACTCAAATAGAAAATGTCAGATATGTTCTTCCCTAGAACTAGGACAAGATTTTGGTAATGTCAATTTGCATAAAAATTCTAATTTCATCGACTGTGAAAGGGAAACAATGCTCCTAAAACTAATGATCAAATCCTGGAAAGCACTTACAGGAGAACATTCAATTGACAGTTATAACAGTTGTCCAATATTTCAGGCTTTTTTATTATTTTAATGTCTTGTGAGAGTTATATTTTACTGCCATCATTATTTCAAAAAATGACTCAGAACATATGGGACAAGTAAAAAAAAATAATAAATTTATGTATAAATCAATAATAAAGTGTACGTATAATCAAACATAAAATAATAATTGTATTGAAATAAACTTGGTACTATAAGGATTAATAATTCCCAAACTTACTGCGAAACAATAATGTTAAGAATATACACTTCACAAAGTATGTGTTTTCTAGTGCTCAAAATGTTCTATTTTCAATAATTTAAATGTTTTTGAAACTCCATCCATAGACATGAAAGTTTTGGAGTGTGAACTAGGAACAACAATGAACTCTAGAGAAATCCCACCTTCTTTGAAGTTAAAATCAATTTAAACATATAATACTGTAAATTTCATGTTCATTGCAATAGAAAAGTCTTCAAAGCCTGTGTGTATGTATAAAATATTCAGTTGTTGATTTTTTCTTCGGTTTTCAGAAACAGTCAAAATTAACATTATATTCAATTAAGTATCCTAATAATGGAGCACATTGCTTTTTCACTTTCAGAAGAAATTTGACAGATTTTGGAGTTATACAACTTGTTCAAGCTTATTTCTCAGGTAATGGTGATGTTTCTACATTGTTGTCTGTCTTTTCTTCATCTTTGCTATTTTTATGCGTTGTTTCCCATTGTTTCAGATATTCTACCACTTCTTTATGACCAAACGTTTCTGCTTCATCAATAGGTCTGTTTCCCCACCTGAAAAAGACAGTGCAGAGTGGCTCAGAATAAATGTTACAAACTTCTAAGGCGTGCAGACGGGTAGAAACTGATCATGTTTTGCCAATGAGCATGTAGTGAGAAGTTATATATAATGGAATTACATGTGTGACATTTACCCATTTTGATATTCAACCTCATGGCATTCCATATGCACAAGTGTTTGACACGTACATGATTCAGTCCTTGACTCTGTCAGAACATGCAAACAACACTTGCGCCTAAGGACTTTCACCCTCACACACAGAACTTTTTTTTACAAAATGTTCTGATGAATCAGACTTCACTTTAAAGCTAGAAAAATTTGAAATATATTTTAATTTTTAGGGTTATTTTATAAAAAGCTCATTCACGTTCAAAATCTTCTCACAAATAACTACAGATCTTTACTTTCTCGTGTGCGCATTATTAATGCGAAAAATCGACCTAGAGATTTTGAAGGCTATTCACATATTGGGTATCCCTCCACATGCGTACTACATACGATGTGTGTTCAAAAACAAACGGGAATTTTCATTTTTATAAATCTATGTTATTTATTCGTCAACATCAATGTTATCACCTTCAAAGTAGTCACCATTAGATATTATACGCTTATGCCAGCGCTTATTCCATTCCCCGAAACACTTCTGGAACTCCGTCTTTGGGATATCATGTAGCTCTTTCAGAGAAGCGCTTTTAATCTCATCTGTGCTTCAAAACCGACGGCCCCTTAAGGTTTTTTTGAGGGGAGAAGAAAATAGTCGCACGGGGCCATATCTGACGAATATGGAGGCTGTGTCATCATTACAGTATTGTTTCTCCCCAAAAATTCACGTACAAGCAATGACGTGTGAGCAGGTGCATTATCGTGATGCAGAAGCCACGACTGGTTTTGCCACAAATCCGGGAGTTTTTTTCGGATTGCTTGCCGCAAACGGCGTTGAACTTGTAGGGAATACTCTTTATTAATCGTTTGTCCTTTTGGCAAGAACTTATAATGCACTATGCCGTTAAAATCAAAGAAAACTGTGAGCATAACCTCCATATTTGACCGCACCTGCCGAGCTTTTTTCGGTCTTGGCGATCCAAGATGCCTCCACTGGGACGACTGAACATTAGTTTCGACGTCGTCTCGGCTGTCACTCGGTCAATCTGTCAGTGAACACGCTTAACAGTCCCTGTCGGTCTATCCCTCTGTTCAGCCGGTTGTTCGCCCGTTCATCTATTCGTCCGTCCGAATGTCCGTCCGTCCGCACGTTCGCCGGTCTGTCCGTCCGTCTGTCCGTCCGTAATTTTCTTCAAAATGGATTCAATCTAGTCGATCTGAAAGTCAAGAAAATTTGAAGCAGATATGGGGAGAGGGCCTATTCTACATGAAATCTTTACATTTTCAAAATTTTGTGAAACATGGCTCCAAATTTTATCTTTAAACATCAAAATCAACGTTTTTAAGCTAGATATTTCTTTCTTAATGCAATATATGTTTACTTTTTCTCTCTATTACATAATATATGTAATATACCTTCCTAAACTATAGTGTAGGAGGAAAAATATGTAGATCACAACAGGATCTTGAATTTTCGATCCTAAAATCCGCGTTTAAAATTCTTTTGAGCTGTCATTCAGTCTAAATTGGCCACCTTACATGGGTAGTTTCGAATGTTTTTTGCCCCGAATTCTTTAAGTCATACTAAAGGTACACAATGATAATTTCTAAGTCTTTCGTCATTTTGAGACAATTTAAGAATTTTTCTCATATTTTTTCCACTTTTTTAGTATGTAATATATTTAATACGATCTCACAAAATTTATAAAATGAGTGTCAAAAAGCGCTCAATGCAACAAGTCAGTTTTGGGGGGAAAATAACTCATTGACTATCATACTCACAAATTACAAAAGTCACGCACAGTTACAATTTCAAGAAACATCGTTTCAAAAGTACAATTTAAAAATTTAAAATATAAAGTATATTCAAAATGTGAAATTAATTTCAAATATTTGGCATGATGAGTTAATGACTGTACCACAACAATTGTTGACTTTTACAAATACTTAAAACGCCTTTTTTTTTCAAATTTAATACCCCTAGACAAGAAGAAAATAATACTAACTATAACTTAACTATAGATGCTGTAACGGTAGATAGACTAATGTATCCATCCTTTATCATCATCATTGTAAACTTTAAAATTTATTTACATGTCATTTTATGAGAGATTTAACGTATTTACGAAAATAAAAAGGTTTAAAATGTAAGGCTATGCTGCATCTTTCCAATTTTTTTAACGGGACCACAGTGTCCCTCTCCCTGCCCCCCGTGCCCACGCCTATATAACCAACCCCTGATGTCAGCAATTGCCAAATAATGGTATTTGCGGAGAAAACGACGAATCACATTATTTCCGAATTCAAAATGTGTGTGTGTGCGTGTGCGTGTGTGTGTGTGTGTGTTAGTTTGCAACTTTTAATTATATGCAAGTATATGTACTTACTATTTAGTACTTCCAAACCATTCATTTTTTTTCTTTGTTAACCTTAGTTTCCTGAAAAGAGAATTGATAAAATCATTCTTTTGAACTTGCATTCAGATGTTCTTACCTATCTTTTGGGTCGAATGGAACACGACAGTGTTCCAATAAAAATACAACACAGTCCATATGTCCTTCAGAAGCTGCCAAATGAAGAGCTGTTCGTCCATCATAATCAGACAGGGTCATATCCATCCCAGACAAACGATGCCTGAAATATGAAGAAATGTATAATTTTTTAATCATTTTAGGTATTTTTTATAAATATATTTTAAGCCTCCTAGCGTATTCTTAATAGAGTATACCTCATAAAACTCAACACTGGGTAACCACACTATTCGCGTACAACTATTTCTTTAGAATAAAAATAAATACTCAATTTCTTATGTAAAATTCAAGATCGAGGATTGAGACGAAGTTTATCAACATGCTCCAAGGCCGAAACACCACATTCAAAATAAAAATACAAATTATGCATTCGAATTGTTTCTCACCTCAGTTTTCAATATTGCTCATAAAACTATTTCTCCCATTGACTAGGAGGAAATTCAAATACGACTCCGAGTCGTGACCATGACCGTTCAATCAGTCATCTCTCATCATAGTAAATACGCCTTCGTTCTCTTGCCTTCATTGAAATACTCACGTTTATAAACATCGAGGTCATTGCCATGTTCAATAATCGTCAACTGCCTTACAATATGCCATTGCGCGTATCTAAACTATCCATTCACTTCCGATTGGATCTCTTCAATTCTGTACGTTTCTATCGACTGTCCAGTATTTCTCTAAATTACGTGATCGGTCACTCCTAACCAAGTCGTTTTACGTTTTAAAGTCAGGTTGACTAGTTCACAATTGGTTTATCGACAAAATTTGCTAAAAATGCACTGTCGAGTAGGATTCAATTTGTTCATCGTCATCTTTCAATCAAGGCTTGGGTTACAGAGCGTTGCATAGACGCAAATCAACGCAAATCTCGTGTGCAGGGGCTCTAATTAGCATTCTGACACGTCTCTACGTGAACTGTTATATATGGTTCATTATAAAAGAAATGTACATTTTCTGAGGAAAATATATTTATTGGTTGGACCTGTACAAATGCACCGAAACACTCTCCCATGCATCAATACACTCGCTGAGACGTGTCTGTCACGCCTGGAAGCCATCATGAAAGACCTCGACGGGAATGTCTGTCAGAAACGTTGAAACATGCTTTTGGATGTGTTTCATGGTCGCTCAATACTTTCCTTTCACCTCTCTCTTCAGTCGGGAAAACAAAAAAAGTAGCATGGAGCCAAGTCAGGACTGTAAGGGGGATGGGGGACCACCGGGCTGTTGCTCCGGGCCAGGAAGCTGGTAATGATGAAGGACGTGTGGATGGGAGCATTGTTTTTATGGAGCTTGACAGCGCGAAACTCGACGTTCTTTCTGATCATCCAGCACCACTTTCGGCACAAGCTTCGCGCAGACCTTACACATTTTCAGATCCTTGGTCACTATCCCGTGTACCGCAGATGTGGACATGTGTAGGGTGTCAGCAATTTTCTGGATGCTCAATTGACGGTCGGAACGCAAAACTTCGATCACACGATTCACGTTTTCGTCAGTTCTGACCATTGTTGGGCATCCAGAACAGAGTTCATCGGTGACGACCTCCCGGTCCTCTTTGAACGCTTTGTGCCACCTCCCTGACAGTCACCTTGAAATGCAATCGCCCTTGAAGGCCTCTTGAAGCGTCTGGAATGTTTCGGTTGCATTATTTCCAAGCTTCACGCAAAACTTGATGGGGTATCGCCAATAAAGCGATATTTGTGGAAACACCTGTTCTTAATGAAGAAAACTCTATAGAGCACACAATCTTTACCCATTATTGTACTATGATATGGCGCAATTGGGAGCTAAAAATATTGGTGGTGTAATTAACGATAATTTCCGCAATGCCGGGGAAGAATCTCGTGAACATTTACGACGCTTACTAGAAACACTACTTCAAACTGCCTTGATAGTAAATTTACCTTCTCTTGTACATACAATTCAAATTAACAAATAAATAGAAATTTACCTTGTCTTGCTTTACATTTTTTAACATGAACAAGAAAATCGTATATCTTACAGACTATGTAACATAGATCAATTCTAGAAAAACAGAGAAGTTTCTTAGGTCATGTAGTTTCAGAAAATGTCACCTATTAGCATATACGGATGAGAAATGTGGCCTCTACGAACACTGAATTAAAGTCCTTGTATTTTTGAATATTCGTCGCTCTGAAAATAATAGTCAAATTCAATAGTCTCTATCTCCTAAACGAATAAAGCTACAACGCTAAAATTTGCACAAGTTATTGTAAGTACTCTATTCTTTAATTTAAGTTGTAATTGAAGTGTCTCGTTTCATAAGAACCTGCTTGAAATTGCAATTTCCTACAGTGTTATAGGTAAGAAATTGACATTTATTGCGAAACGTTTGCGATTTTCTGAAAAACTAAGCTATAAGTGGAAAAATGAATAGCACCAGTGTCTTTGCCATGGAATTTCTTGCTAGGACCGTGGTTTTCACTAAAATCCCTGTCATGACGAAAATTGAAAAATTTCGTCGATCTGCAATTTTTTGTAAAACTAAGCTTTCTCGGTATTTCTTATAGAAATATCTCTAATATTTTGTGATAAACCAATTGTCTTTCCGAGCTTTTACGAGTGCAATTTCAGGGTCATTATTTGTGTTCTACGGCATAAATTTTTTTTTTAGTAAAAGTGAATATAATAGCGCAAATTTTAACATTATTTTTATTAGCGATTTAAGATTATCTACAGGATTATAGAATATTATATTATTTTGGTCTCGATGCCACATTTCACAACTCCTAAAACCAGTTTTTTAGCATTTCTGATTCGCGATCGTGAATTTTGCCTAAATTATGCATAACATTGACAAGACAAATGTAGGATGTTACAATTTAGTGAATTTTATGGCACTGTATAATGGATAAAATATCTACGTAGAATGGGAATCGAATCCACTGCTTCACGAGTTCGAGAACAATCATTTGACACTGAGCCATTATTTCGCCCTTTTTACACATATTTTATAACAACACATTTTATGTTAACGAAACTTGAAAGCAACATTACATTTTCAAAGATTAATGTGAATTCAGTTTCATTGGAAGGAATCACGAAAGTCTTTTTCCTCTGTTCTACTCCTATTTAGCTCTCAATGAACGGTAAAGTATTTAATACGCTTTCCAAAAAAATAAATTTTTATCTTCTTTGTTCGATGTAAAGAGCGTATTTTCGACAAACTTTAGATAGCGCTGTTGGCAAGCAGGGATGTCCAGCGCCATCAACCTCTCGAGCCAAGACATTTTCGACACGAAACTTTGTTTCCAAGGGTGTACATTGTTTGGAATGTAATTATAATTATTTTCGACACTTAACAGTGATAGCACTTCATTTAGGACACTTTCCTAAAAATATGGAGTGTTTATGCCTTTACCCGTTCGTAAAATTGGAAAATACCTCTATCTTTCCAGCTTGCGTTTGCACAGACGTGTAAAAAGCATAAACGACGCGATTTCGAATGTGTAAAAGTTATTATTTTACATAGTGAAATAGAAGAATTAAAAGAACTAAAAATCGTTAAAAATGACGTAAATACACAATTTCCGCGAACGTAAAAGCAGGTTCTTAGGTATTTTTAGTAAATCTCACTTAATATTATGTTGTCATGAATTATTATGTCGTGTAATATTTTACCATGCATTTATTATTTTTATTTTGTATTTTAAACAATAATATATTTTAAATACAATGTTTACACGTTCTAATGATCGATTCATTTAAATCAGTCATTGTTACAATGTAGCTACTATTTATATAACTTATTATAATGCTACATACCGTCTCATGGCAGTAATATCTCCACTTGCAGCTGAGAAAAGAAGGTTTACAATACTTAATCCTTTAGTTTCATACTTATGTCTTCGGGGATCCTTTTTATTAGTGGCGTGCTTCAAATTATCATAGCGATGGAAGTTAAATTCATTCACAAGTTCCTTGAAACATTAAAATATCAATGTCAGTGTCTGTATCAACAATATAATATACACAAGTGGTTATAATTACTCTCACTATTTAACCGTCTTTATGTGTAAAATGAGTGATTGCTACCCCGGGAGATGAAATATAAAGATGAGGAGAAATAATGAAAAATCAATTCTACTACACCAATTTAAATTCCACATCATACCATATGTATAGTTTCTGTTACAAAATGTGTTCAATATCGCCCGCGCCAGGATAGTCTGAAAGCATAAGATAGCATGCTGAACAGCTGCACGAAGAATTTCCACCGGTATGCTTGATGAACTCTGTAGATCGACGCATGTTCGAACGTTTCCTTGATAAACACTGATTTTCAACTAACCCCACAACTAGAAATCACTGGGAATGAAATCAAGTGATAGCGACGACAAAGCATTTCTTTGGTTGGTTATTAGTAATTCCAGGCGCGTCAACTATATGGGTCATTAGTTCCGTAAGTGTAGTGCATGTTTTCCTCGGAAGGAGGCGGTATTCTTTCCCCGCTTGATACGAAAACCGACGCTGACCTGCCGTCGGTTAACGGAGTTTCCTTCAACCAAGTATCTCCCAGCAGTGGGGCCCCCCCCCCCCCAGTCGGGACAAGCTCTAAGCTCCCGACCGGTCTCCCGGCATATGAGGTAGCGTAGTGCATAATTAGTGTGTGTGTGTGTGTGTGTGTGTGTGTGTGTGTGTGTGTGTGCGCGCGCGCGCGTAAAGGGTGAGAAGAAGACAAGGAAGATGAAGGAAAGATCGTGCGCAGTCCTTGGCCCGTTTGTAGGGTACTGCTGCGGCATTATCCTGGAGTTGATCGTAAAAATGACGGAAAACTACACTAAAATCAGAGCAGCCGGCCTCTAGAATTCTCCTCCAGACAGTCATCAAATATGTTACAAAGAAGCTGATGAATTGGCAGAGCCAAGTGCACATTGCTGCAGTGGAGCCCCATTTTGCATGAAACTGTTCAGCGCAATGGATCTTTCTTCTTTAGGACGGGTATCGCTTATTGGCGAAACATATCGCAGTTATATTGGTCTGCCTCACAGCACGTCTGTGAACACTGAGCGCCAGTCTCTTCAAACTTGTGGTGTTAATATAGCTCATACTCTCTCTTATTAGTAACTGTTTCGAAATCTTGTAATAGTGGTTGAAATCTCAGAAACAACCCGCAAAAATATTTGGCAGGGCTGGGACGTAAACCATCCAGGTCCCGTAAACAGCGTCCTTAGTGATTGAATTAAAGGTTCGCTTTCATATTTCATGAAATTCAAAGAAATCATTAAAAATACGCATACCTCGGAGGTATTGTACCTGAAATGATTTAAATGTCAAATATTGATAAATAGTTTGCACTAAGAAAAATCTATATCTTTAGCATTAAAAGAGGACAGGTTTGAAAAACATCTGAAATTCGTACTAATTTTAACCAAATCACTCAAAATTACTAATATTTTGAAAACAATGTGTATGAAATAATTTAAAGGTCTAGTATTCAAGAATATATTGCTTTATGTAAGAAACATCTAGCTTCAACATCAAAGGTGTAAAAAGAGACTGAAAAATGCAAATTTCAAAAATTTCATTGATTTAAATTTAAATAGTTAATATGTCATGCTATTAAGATAACATTCTATTTGAACTTCGAAACCATTTTAGCCATAATATTTTTGGAACACTAAAAATAACATATCTTCAATAATGTAGCTGGTGAAGGGGGTTGAAAAAACTCTTACTTTCACAATTTTTAAAAATTCAGAAGTTTTAACGAATATCGGGTCTGAACAATTTTTATTAGTGTACTTTTCCGTATTCAATCAAAAAATTTGATTTTCAGAAATTATCAAAAATGCCGTTAGGATAATATTAAAGGAACACCATAAATTAAAATATCAGCGATGTAAGCCGCGATCGAGGAATATAACATTTGATGAAAATTCTTTGTCCGGTTTAGGCGCGAACGATGTTCACAGGCTCCTGGCTGGATGGGCGGGTGGGTGGAAAGACGTATGTTTGTCCAAAAAACAATTTTTCGGAACCAAGAAACTACAAAACGTGGTTTTCGCTATACAGTGTATTAAATTAAGTCATTTACTATATATAGGGGCAAGAAAAATATATTTGCTGGGAATCAGGGATTCATAAAATAAAGGTGTTGTGGTAGGATATCTTTGGCATTTTTAAAATAATTAATTTCTGGTAGTCGTTTTGTGGCTTCCATCTAGCAGACAACTGATGATGATGGCTAAGCCATCGAAAGCTGCTTTTGAATTAAAAAACATTGTTGGCAATGACAACATCTTTAATTATTTCATAAAATAAGTTAAAATATGGGCTAAAAATCACCGCGAAGCCACACCATACGTTCACTAAGCACAGGAACTTCACAAACATTGAGGTGAAGATCCCCACACTCGACAATTATGTGAGAGCATCAAAAAAAGTGTGGTTCGTCACTTAATAGAACGATCCAAAGTCAGGTTTCGTCAACACAAATCCTAGCAAGAAAGTGGAAAGTGAGTGAGAAAGTGAAGTAGTGAAATTTGTTGGATGTCCTTCTGGGTTTACGGATACCATTTCATTGCGACCTTGTACGGATACCATTTCAGAATGGTTCGAAGAACTATACTTTCAGTAAACCATGGTTTGTTACACAGCATGCGCTCTACCATAGGCAATGGCGCGCAGAACTGTCTGCCAAGACAACAGCTATTTCTTCAACAACCTATGACACAAGTAGACGCCGGCTTCTTCCCATAGTGACACACAACTATCCAGTTTCTTCCAACTTCATCAAAGTAGGAACACAAAGATGAATCTTCCGTTATCCTTTCGGCCGGCAACATTCATGAAGTGCAGGCGCAGCGTTGCTTAATAAAGAATTGTTGTGATAAAAAGGGCTTCAACCAAAACGCTCTACTAAAACGTTCTTGCGCATGATCTTGGCTGTCCGGGTGACGCCGCGTTGAAGGCTGTGTTGCCGACGTTTCGACCATCTTGTCGTGGTCTTCCTTAGGGCTGATATGCCGTGGACCCTCTACTCTTATTGTCCAAGTCAGTTTTGACTCACCAGAAACTAAACAGACACTGGTCTTGTTAGTGAGGCTATCCATCAATCACCACGAATTACCTCGGCACCAGATGGCAGTCTAGTGGGATCTGTGGTGCTGTGCCGTATGTCAATCTTAACGCTACGTACTCTGGACATTAGATCTACCGAATTTGGTACCCGTACAAGAGTTTCCTGTTTAAAACGAGGTTTATAGGGAAAGCATAATTATAACCACTTGCATATATTAGTTTATACATGGATGAGCTTCAAAATCCCTTGCTTAAAATATAACAGTATAAAATTAGTTTAGAATCATTTTATATAATTAAAAAAATCTGCAGTGAAATTGCTGTATTTTACAGTTTGCAACTCCAGCTCTGAAGACTGGAGGTTTTAGGCAAGACTCCTAATGTGTTAAGTTTCCACGTGCAACTAAATACCAGTTAAACATAAAACTATTAAAATTAATATTAGTAAAAGAAGGTACTTATTTTCGTAACAAAAGTACTTTTAAACGAAAATTAAAAAGTGGGGCATAAAGCTACAATATGTAGAGGTTGGTTGCTCTAATTGTTTTTTCCAATGATTAATTTCAGGGATATACTGCATAAGTCCTAACCAAAGGACCATGTGAACCTACTTGTTCTTCCCATCTTCATTCTTAAATAATTTCATTTACACTTTTATACATAACCCGGGCACGACACAAACTTTAATATTGGCAAACCGCACAGGGCACTTAGGCTTGACTAGTGTACAGGAACCAGTTTGGGGTCTCACACACACCAACACTTGCCAAGCTATGCTTTAACATTCGCTACTAGTATATATTTATACTTCGTGATTGCGTTGAAATAACACCTCAAGGAATAAGGGAATACTAATTACCTGCTTTGATATCTAAGATTTTCTAGAGTGGAACACAGTAACTTGTGTTATTCATGTAGCTCATACAAGTACGATCACATCTTGCTTTTTGGTCTAAAAGTTATCATATGAAAGATCTCTATTGTCAATAGCAAATCTATATTCTATCTATACAACTAAAATTAAATGTGCATTCATTTCGGAATTCAAGAATATGAGTAATCACACGTAGTGGTATATTAAATAAGTAACTCATAGAATATATTTATACAAAGTGGCCTAGATGAGACTGAGACAGGTAAGGGAGGTTATGCACATTCTACTTCATTTACTGATGCACTACCCAGAGTTATTGAACGAAAAGGGTTGAGAAAAACGTTTCCTCCCTCTTGACATTTTCTTGAGCTCTCATGGCGATAGGTGCCAAGGAGTTGGTTTTTTATTATTCCGACGGCAGGACTATTATATCAAATCTGCAGCTCGCTGTTCTATGAAAAACGGTTTCTATTACACCTGAGCGAATATTTCTAGTTATCAGATTTTTGTCAACTCTCGTTGCTATCTTTTAATATTAATTCAACTATTTTTGCTAAACACGAGCGCGAACAAACAACCGCACACATACACTCAAACACAAGATTTCCGAAGTGCCACTTCTCAATTAAGAGTACACTCACCTCACAAAATTGTAGACCTCGACAGCTGTTTCCCAAAGGATCAAGAGGAGGAGAATAAGTGCAAATACCCATGACATTTGGAATGACAACCAGCATTCCCCCAGCAACACCAGATTTTGCTGGCAGGCCAACCTGAAATAAAACAATAAAAATTAGTGTTTATTTTCCTACTGTCAAAGTTACATATGTAATTGAATGGTTCGGCCTTAGAAGATGAAAAAACTCCCAAAATTGTAGATTTTGTTATGTATTTGAAACCCGACCTATGATGTCCATATTCAATGTGAAAAGTTTTAATTTAATGCTCAGAGGTGTATCCTGATAGCTGTATTTTTGCTTCCTCCCTGTCTCCCTCTGACTCTCTCTCTACCGGCCGAAATTTCACAATTGTAGGGGAAACGTATGCAATGAAGCCGCTCTTAATACACGTACTTCAGGAAACGGTGAGTCGAGTAAAGCACCGTTGCATAGAGCGCCCTGTTCAAGGACGCTTGTATCAGCATAAAATCATCAACGCACGTCTAAGTGCGCTCGCATGTGCACATTCCCATTCTATTATATTCTTCCCACAAGTGCAAGCAAAAATGTTGACAATTTCTTATCACAATCGGTACGGTAGCGCATTAAGTACGAACCAACGAACAAACGAACCTTTTTTTAAAAAAATATATTAGATTAATGTTTTAGGAGCTAACATTGGGGAAAACATGTTTTAGTTCTGTGTAGAACATTCTTTGTTCTTACCTTGAATGCAAATTGTCCTGAATAATCATACATTCCACAACTGTGCATCAGAGACAGGACATCACGTACTGAATCTGGTTTAAGAACTTTCTCCTCAGTAATTGGGCAAATACCACCATTGGCTAAAGTTGCTGCAATGACTGCCATACTGTCACAATTTGCTTCCATTGAGCAGCACTAAAAACATAAAATTTACTTCATTGAGCAGCATTTAGACTTTTCTGATTTAATAATTTGCAAAAGATTTTAATGTTAAGAAGATTGTTTCACTGAATACTAGGAATCTTTGTGGTATGCAAATAATAGCTAGAATGAGAGGGTCCCACTTTCCCCTTACAATTTTTATTTTAAAAAAATTAAAGAACCTCACACAAACAGAAACTAATAATAAAATGAATGAACATTTTTAAAACAAGGCAATACTGCTGTCAGATGAATCAACAAGGTTTTCAGAAATGGGGGTGATTCAGTGTCTACATTTGGGTGCATTTAACAATAGTGGCATAAACTCCCTAAAATGGATTTGCTACTGGTTAACAATGAAAGCAGTTGCGACTAATTCACATTCCTTAAGAGATCGAAAGAGGAAGAAGTCAATTGCACAAACTACTTAAAAAAAAAGCACACACAACAAATTAGATGCGTCAACTAGCAAAAGGGTAATAGTCAAAGACATATCGGTTTGCTCGTTTAAACGCGCTTCTGCCTGTCCACGTTGTGAGAGTAAAGCCAACACCAGCTGCTCTGACGACGTCCGGAAGCATCCTGGCCCTTGCCGTTGCTGGCGCGAGACATCGCCTACGTTCCTTGACACGTACGTGAAAGAATCTCATGTAGATAGCAGGTCAGTAGACAAGGATATTCTCTATTGTGCTGTATAGTGCCCATTAAAAAAGTTTCCTCTTTCGACCGCAACAAATCACGAAGGGAGGAAAGGCTGGCAACAATTAAAGTGTTCCACCCTCTTAATATAAGTAGAGCACGTTATTTAAAATTCGATCAAAGTAAGTTTTTTCATAGATAAAACCTTTAAAAGAATAATTTTCCTTCAAATACCACATACACAGCATTTAGACTTTTCTAATTATTATTAGGGTGTATATTATTCGGTAATATACAATACAAGAAAATACGTGAAGAGAACTTTCCACCCTTCCCTCCTATGAGAAACGGACCCTGATTGAAAGTAACATCTAGGCATATTACGGGTCACCTTAAATTACTGAACACAGGAGGGAGGAGGGGCTTTAAAGCAGCCTAATGCCGCGTTACATAGGAGTATAGAAGTTTCAGCTTAGTGTTACGTTACGTTGATATTATTTCAATATTTGCTGAAATAATTCCTTTTAATCAGTTGCATACTAAAACATTAAGATATTAACAAATTAAATTAAAAAATAAAAATAAATTAAAGAAATTACGATGTAATTCTTTCAATAAATAGAAACATTTTTTTCATCAATGATATACTCATTGAATCTGTACGATTATGAAGAAAATATTTAAAAATACGTAGAATATTCTAAAATCCAATTAAATTGGCACAATAGTCCCTGGCCGTGCAACATCCACAACGGCGGGTGCATGACATGTCGGAAATTGTCTCAATTACGCATACTTCTTTCAATCAAAACTTGTCTCCACTCTTATTGTTAGGTGCCATCAGCATCACGAACTAACTCTTAACTTTAATTATCATTCATTTTAATATATTATATCTCAAATAAAATTAATACAAATGGTGTTTTACTGTTATAAAAATATATTTTAGTAAATGGAGGGTGCTGGCATGAGCGTTAATTATTTATAGGTTTCAAGCATGCGTCCCAGGGGTGACAGCGAGTATTCAAATTTCTCCAAATATAAGTTACGTAATTTATGGACAACCCACTGCTAATTTCTGATGCACGCTGAAATTGAAAGAAAATTACGCAATCTCCGGCCTAATGGGACATGTCTGAGGTTTCATTACACATTCGGGAACTCGGGAAAAATAAAAAATAAAAACTTCTATATTACTTATTTCGAATATTGATAAATTGACGGAAAACTGTGTAGCCTCCGGCCATGAGAGAGGTGTCCATGGTTTCGTCAGATATCCAGGAACCCTCAAAAAATCCAAAAACGATGTAATAGTTTCAATTTTGACTGAAAAGTGCAAATATTTGATTAAATTTTTCATAGTGATACTCAGTACATAACTGTTTACGATTCATTTGGTGTCATGAGACATTAAGATTCGAAGGAAGAGGCCTCCTGCCAATAAATATTGCTACTAAATAATTTCTGTTCATGTGTAGCGTTATGGAACAACAAAGGTGTTGATATTCTTGAATTGTAAGGAACAGTTGTACAGGCTGCACATTGTAGCCTATTTACATAGATACTATGTAATTGCAATATTTTTGAAGACTATTTTCGCTAAAATGGTTTGTAACTTGAGTTTACGTACCTCCAACAGAGCAAGTTTAAACCCTTTGGAGATTAATATTATAAAATTAAGAATAAACATCTATCATTGAAATTATAGTGGCTTAAGAAACTTATGGGCCTTTATATTAAGGAATTTCTAGAGGAAAAAAAAGGTTGAAAATTGAATAATAATAAAAATTGTGAAAAGATGTAATGTATTAAATTATTATTAGATGTAATAAATATGAATCAATAAATGAAATAATAATTTGCCTACCTGAAAATAAAAGTCCATGCACTCTCGCAGGTTTGTTTTATCTGGATAGCATTTGTGTTCTCTCATGTAGAATCCAAGGGCATAATTTCTGTCTGCTGCCTCTCTCTCTGAGAGAAAAACTGCATTATTAAACCCAAGATTTTCTCCTCCAGCAAGTTTCTGAAATATTATTTCAGAATGAAAATTCTGCTTCTTAACAGATCATTCAAAGCATTATTAATCACTTGTCATCTCCTTGTAATATTTATTTTTAATTCTATCCTTCAACTCAGATTATTGACATATACTTACATACAATATATTCATTGAATTGTAAAACATGGCATTACTTATAGAACATTATTTATAGAACTCTAAAATTACATTTTTAGAATATTTATAGAAATTTCCAGAATTCCAATAATCATCATTTATATCAAGCAAATAAGAATAATGCTGATTTCATACTTAAGACGATTCCCAATGAAAATAGACATTTTTAGTGGATAGGATCTAAAAAGTTTCAGAAAACCAAATATTTGAAAAGTAAAGACCTCTTTCTAACAAATAATACTCTTATCCCTTCTTTGTAATTGTGATCTCTGTTTATGATTCTGCCATTTTAAGAAGATTCCATAAATGATATACAAGCATCGGTTTTATAAATATATTGTAGGTTTTTTATTCCTGAGCTGACCTGAACTCACTCCATATACCAAAAGATCGAGAGACATTAAGCTTAACATAAATTATTTGATGAATTGTGATCTATGGTTACATCATAAACTAACACAATAAAGTTGTAGGCTTACAATAAAGTCGTAAACTATCACAAGTTACAAATCTTGGAACTATTCAAAACAAAAATTTATGTAATGTAAATACACATGCCACTTCAAATCTTAATTCTAATTATAATAATTACATGCCCATCAAAACATTGAAGATGTTTACCCAATACATATCATGTACTCAATATATTTCATTAGTACCTAATCAAAATACAAGATCATACCTTGAAACAATTCATTGTGAAATCAAATTTTTCTGCCAGAGTCATTTCAGGTTTTATTAAAGTTTTCAGAAGAGAACATACCAAGATAGCACCTGCATTAATCATTGGATTATGCGGCTTTTCTGGAAACGAAAGTAAAATATCCTGATCCATTACTCTATTTTATAATTACACATAGTTATTTCTGCATCTCTACTTACTGTTATAGTCCAATACTAATTCATTAAAATTACGCCCACTTGGTTCTTGCCCCACATATTGATGAACTAATTCAGCTCCAAGTCGCTCAAGAGCAATTGCATATGTGAGAGGTTTGCTGCAGGTAGAAATATTAGTTAATCTCAGAAATAAGCAAGTAATGCAAGTAAGTACTTCAAAGTTAGAAACAATCATCTTATTTAAATTATTTTTGTTAGATTATATTATTCTTCACAAAAAAAAGATGTCTTGTGAGAACAATGTTCAAAATTATATTTTTTAAAACAAGACATTTGCAATGACCTTTTAAAAAATGTTTTTCAGACTTACCTGCATGATTGCAAAGTGAATGGAATATTTACATCTCCAATTGAAAACCTTTGGCCATCAATAGTGCAAACACTTACTCCCCAATAATCAGGATTCATTCTAGCAAGTTGAGGAATATAACTGGCAACCTTAAATTTTCACAATAACGAATAAACCATTATCATAATTGTTCATTAAGTAGTGTTAAAAAAGAAATAGAAATTGAAACAAATGGAAGTGGTTCTTTGAATGTAATTTCACCTTTCCTTCAGTATTAGGCTTGCATTTCCAATAAAAATCTTCGATATGTTTTGTGAATCCTTGGAAGTCTGGAATGATAAACTGATGCCGGAAAGCTCTTGAAATTAATACTATATTAGCAGAAATTACCCTGAAAAGAATTAAATAAATTTACATACATCTTGTTAATAAACACACATCAAATATAACATCGTAGTTTTGAAACACTTTCTGCACCTTCGGAATGTTTCTCGATCCATTTTCTGTGTTTCAGGAGATCCTCCTTCCATTCCAGATTTCCTATGCACTTCCCTTAAATTTTCATTTAATTCACTAAGTCGAGGATCATTTTTACGTAATCCTGTACTACGAAGTGCCTGTAAAACACTTATTTTATAATACAAATATTTTCAAGACCTAAATAGATATTTAATGATGTAAGGAAACATCAGTTAGTAATATGTTCTTACTTTGCTCTGTAGGCATAGCAAAGTAAAATGAATGCAAATTTTTTGACAAATTTGCTTACAAATTTATAAGAAGTACTTACTGCTAGGAATTTTCCAATTGGAAGTAAGTCAGTTTCTTCATTTTTGAACATATCAAACAGAACATCTTCAGCATTCTTTGCTTGGTCTTGATCACGAGCACTGTAAAAAAAAATTGGAAAATACTTCTTTCGAGACATGATATGAGTACCCTTTGCAACAAAATATGCTTTGCAAGTACACTAAGCCAATGGTGGTGTGACCTCCTCAACTGAAACTTCTCATACATATACAATTTCTGTGACTCAATAAAAAATGATCACGCACTGATCCAATGCCAGTGTTGATTGATTTCAATTGAAATTAATAGACATGTCAAGACCTCTTAGATCTTGAAAGTCAGTGCTATTTTTGGAAATGCTATTTATGTCACAACATTCTAAGAAACCTTTTTTACTTATCTTAAATGTATTTTTCATGAAATACAAGAAGATATAAGCTTACATACAGCAAAAAAGTATTTGCAAAAATACCTGTATTTTGCATAAACAATATGAATGATAACTTTAAATTTTTAGAAAAAAACTTCATTCTCTACTATACCACTAAAATTTTGTTATTTAGTTAGTAAGCCACAAAATACTCAAAACTTTCAATTTGTAATTTTTATCTTAGAATTCAATGTTGCATGTTCTACTAATCAGAATTATAATAACTGATTAAAACTATTTCAGATGTTTTGGTAGTGATGCTTTGTAAATTTCATAATTCAGAATAATTAAGATATGGGCTTAGAGGAACAAAAATGTCTAAAGAAGTACAGGTATAAAATTGTGTTCTAAAATTATCCTATTAAAAGAAACTGAATTGGACATACATTAAAAACAAAAAAAAATCCTAAAGGAGAACTTAACTATTACAGGCTACCTGAAATTGGTCAAAAAATTAAATATTTAATAAATTATAAAAATCCATATATTTCTAAATGAAATGAACATAATTCAAATAGTAAAACCTTGTCTGTTTGTTTCCACAAAATGTCAGTGCAAGCTTCCAGAGATTTGTATTATGTTGAATGTAGGTTTGTAGTATAGAGGATGGTAAATTGGAAAAATACTAATTCTTTCCTCCTGAGTATTCCCAGTGTAAAAAAGATGGCTTTTAATTGATATGGATTGCAGGGCCATAGACCCATATCATAATCAAGTATGTGCAATAAAGTTGTCAAAAAATAAAATAAAAAAATGGTCTTGATAGCAGTATAGACAACGATAGTAATAGCTGCATCAGTTCTTGCAATGACAGTGTAAGCAATAATGTGTAATATAATAAATACCTATATAACAATAAAAGATAATCCTTTGAGTTTCTAAACAATCACATTTTATGTACCATTATATGGTGAACATAACTTGTCATTTAATGGATGATAAGTTATAATACATATTGTTCAATAACATTTAACTAATAATTACGGGATTGCTAACACTCCCCCACAAAAATGATCAAGTTGTTTTTTCAAGAAATTATTAATTCAGGTATCTGAATGGTATTTTGATGATTAAAACATTAGTTCAAAAAAACAAGGGGTGTTTGTATTTTTGATACAAAATTAACTTTTTACTATATCATTAATTTTAATTTTAAGAAAAATATTTTCTTAATATTTTTATAGCTTTATTATTTTGAGTCTGAACGATTGTTTCACGGCGAGATGCAACATTATTGCTACATTTCTCTCAAGACCAATTTTATATAATTTGATCTCTTGGGTACAGAATATTTCACCTCTGAGAGTGGCGAGTTCAAAAATTGGTGGTTCACAAAACAAATATTAGCGGGTTTGTGCAATGGTCACCTTCAACTAACCTAGCCGTCCGTAAGTCTCTGTGGGTAGGGACTACTTGATCTTGTCATTGGCCCTTTTGAGCTCGCCGCGTGCGCGAATGCGTTCTGAAGGTCAATCGCGTGCTCCGTCAGACGGCTCTAATCCCCTCCCAAATCCTTGAGATGGTTGCCTAACATCACGGAGCCAGAGGCGTAACGTTCGGGTCCGCAAAGCCTGCAATGCGGGCGAGCCCAGGTGAAAGAGGGCCTATTTTTACGGTTTTTTTTTTTTATTATTTAATAAAATAAACTTGTGTTTGCTACACACATTTATAAAGGAAGGCCGGATAATAGTTTTTCGGGCGGGCCCGTCCTCATTTCGTTACGCTACTGCATGGAGCTACAAGCCCTGATGCCCTTTGGTAGCAGTCTGCGGATTGTTATTGCTTACTCTATACCGTTACAGGCGTAAACCACCAGGCCTGCAGAACATCCGTTGATCATTCTTTCTTATCTGATTGGCAACTATCAGAGAAAAATTGTTTTGTGATTATGATTCCGAAAGTTATTACATAAATGAATCAAATATGACTATCACATCACAAAGTAGGTAAATTATATTTAAATTTATTTTAGTGCAAGCTTGCTGTAACTGACACCAGAACATTTACAATTAGTACACTTTGATATTTAATTACGGTGATGTACCTATCCTTCTGAAGAACTTGAAAAAACGCGAGGTAACATGCGGAGAATGTATGGAATTACGCAAGGAAATGCGTGAGGCAGGTGGAATCCGAGTTGTTTCTCTAAGTACCGAGACCCTTTTGAACCTTTGTTTTCATTTTTGGAGTTTTAGCTCTTCCGTGTACCCCCATTCCGTGGCATGCTTTGGCGGTCAGATTCGCGTAGAATACATGTCAAATTAAATTGACACGTCAATGGGCCCGTCATGACAGGTCTATAGTGCATCACCAGAGTTCAGGGGCTGACCGATCGAAGTAGAGAACCGATATGAAGTTATTTTCACATTTCTGAACAAGATTTTCTAAGTACAGGTTCGAACATGTCCAGAAAGTATTAATTCAGATTTTAAAATATTTTGATTTCTGAAATATTAATTATAAAGTGGAAATTATAATACAATTATATAACAAATAATAATATCGTTTGCACTAGACAATGTAGTGCAAAGGGATGCGACATCGAAGTTAGTTTTCAGAAAATTGACGTTTTTACAAAATCATCGATGCATTTAACACTGCTTGTTTAACCCGATGTTTTTTAACATCAATCCTTTGTGTTCGATATTTGTACTTTTTTTTGTGAAAAAACTTCATAACAAAATTCTGTAATAATTGTCAGACATCCATAATACAGTGGCCCAGGATGAAAAAAAATCGTTTGAAAAGAGTTTTCGTCAATATAAGAGCCTGTATTATTTTTTAATTATCGCGTTAAATAAAGTTTTGTTAATTATTCTGATGATTTTGTGACATTGTTTCATGGTTAAAACTCAATTAAAAATGAATAAACGATAATTTAAATCCCCCTTTTAATTTAAATCCCCCCCTGCCCCGCGTAAACTTCAATGGTTACTAATACAGTTTTAAAAACATCGATGTTTAATCATATCGTGGGTTTTGGGTCGATGTTTTATTTAATCTAAGTTTTAATTTGAGCTCTAATGTTAGAAGCATCGATCATTTGCTGGTGATATCGCATTCCTAATGGTGCTTGGAGGGAACTCGTCTCCTGCACCAACACGCCCGCCAATCGAAGGAAAGAAACTTAGATCTCGGGTGCTGTGTTATCTCCCGGGACGCACGAATACCGTTCCCCAAATATAAGGAAGCACGACAGTCTGGGAATGGTGAAGAAAGTTGTGACAGAGGACGAATAACTCTGCCAGATAACAAGGAGCGAGTTGAAGATGTGCTCGAACCGTAATTTTCAAACTCTCTGATATTAACGTACATTTACATACTTACCCTAATTTATTTAAATGCAATAATTAAAGTTAAATAAATGAAGTTTTTTTGGAAAACTGATACAACATTCACGCTATAACTTTAAATGTAATAATCCTACAACAAAACTTAAAACGACCTTTAGGAAATTGTCTTCTTTTAATACTGAATATCCCTAATTTTCGGTAATTGATAGTTACGGAGATATATGCAAAATTTTAGGGAAAACACCGTTAGACCCCCGCTTACCCACCGCACACACGATATTTAGAATGAGGTACAAGAGGTGCTCCAAGCGAAGTGGCTCAGGTCCTAAAGCGCTAACTTCACATTCGGTAGGCCCGGTTTCAATCCCTGTGCCGGCCATTTTGACTGGGATTTTCGTGGTTTTCCTCGGTCATCTAGGTGAATGCTGGGATAGTTCCACCTGAAAGACGACTACGAAACTGGCTTCACTACCCGAATTCGTTAACTACGTGAAATCGCGAAGGTTAAGCGAATTCGAGACAATGCTGGTTTCTGGTTGGGTGACCGAACAGAAACTCCCGGAACTAACGGCACCGATGCAATTTAGCAGTTATATGTCCTTTACGGGACATAATGGATAAATACAATTATAGAAGGTAATACAGAACAACCATGTCAAATTTCAAACCCGGATTTCTTTCCCTCGATTTGTTCAGTTGGTCTTGGCTATCAGTAAAATACATTTTCTATTAATCCCATTTTCGATTGAATCTATTTTCTTCTTTAATAGTGCAATACAATATCCCATAAACGATAGAAAAATATCAGAAACGTTTTTCTTTAAACTGTAGGCCAGTAAGAGGCCATTCAAAAAAAAATATATATATATGTTCACTTCAAGGGGAAGGAGAACGACGAAAATGAACAAGGGCTGAAAATAATTTTGGATTCCTAGTTTTTTTGTAAAATAAAATTAAAAGCTATCTTAAATTAAAAGTTCAAGATCATATTAAAATGTTAAACATTTTGCAGTTTTGTATTAAGTATTCATTATATTATTAATATCAAAATAATTATATTTTGAAATTAATAAAAAAAAGTCTTATATACAGGAGTGCAAATGTAAGGGTTACGATTTGTTTACAGAGAAGAAAAAGGTGTTTAAATAAGGTAAATTTTATCACCTTTTTTTCTATCCTAACTAGAACAAAAGTAAAGGACACCAGTCAAGACTGCGAGGCACACTCTGTTGCTGCAATAAAAAAAGTCTTAGTGAAAATCTGTTTATGTAGAAACTTTCAGTAAATTAATGTTACTTGAATTACTTTCAGCCACATCAAGTAAAAAAAATGTCCTTGAAATGCAGAAGAAGTTAGTAGACTCATCTATAGACCACTAACACATTTCCACATTTGTCAAAATGTAGATTCATATGTAAAACCACACATCCATGCAGTTTAGCAAAGTGACCACATACCCTGACATCAGACATTTCAAACTGAATAGTACATTAAAAAATCACAAATGCCAAGAGCTAATTTAAAAAAAAAATAGTTTCTTATTTTAATTTACATAAATTCCAAAGAATATAGCAAAAAATATATCCAAGTTTGCAAATTCTCTGCAAATGAAATTGTGACACTCAAAATATTATAATTTACAAGAAGATGCAAAAATTTACTCAAAAATGAAAATAATATGTAATCATCAAAAATAATGATGACCTAATCATAAAATGTTGAAGTAAAAATGATATTGTTGTATAGGTCTACTTGTATCAGAGGTATATGGTCTCTATGCACAAAGAAATCAATCATGCAAGTCTTCAAAGAATACAAGACAAGCAGTTTTGCAGTAGCAATAATGGACTGAAAATGCTTTTCATTTTGAGATAATATAACACAAGCAGTGGGGTAGCCACAAAAAATATGCAACATAATTAGTGGCAAATCAGAATTAAAATAAGAAAATAAATTTTTCCTGAATGGTTTACACCAATTTCCCCTTAATAAACTTTTGTTTTCTTTAAAAACACATTGTTTTTCTAAATACTGTTTCAGTGTTTTTTCACTCTTTGGCTACACCACTGATTCCTGGAGGACAATTGTTTGAAGAAATTGCTAATAGGTTAAACTAAAGAGAAAAAAATTTGAAAATCACTAACATATATTAAAATAATGATGAAGTTAAAAACTTACAGATAGATGTAACTTGTGTCATGGATGAATGAATATCCTCTAAAGAAATAGGAATGCAGGAAAAAGATAATATAATATCAACTTAACAGAACATATTTTTAATGTACTTTACTTAACAAGACATGTAATATTATGATATAGCTGATAATGGGACATCAGAAAATCATCACTTATTTCATACATTAAAATGGAAAGGCTTATTCAAATTACATTTTGAGCACCTTCCACTAATTCTTCATAAAACACCATCTTGGCACTCAATGTGTTATATTTCACTATTACAGTCTAAAAAAATAGTGTCATAAGGTACCATTTTAAAAAATATGTTCATAAAATTTAAACTTTTTTCTAACCTTTCCCTCTGTGTAGCAACTAGCAACACTTGCAAATTACCCTCCTCTGAGACAATCATTCCATTTTTAAGCCTCTATCCCATTTTCTGAATTGAATATAAGTAATTTAAAAATTGGGAAAATGGTTTCACACATTTTAATACAATTTTTTAAAAATTTAAATACAACTAAAATTTTTAATTAATAGTAGCATTAATTTATAATTTATACATTAAAATAAGTTAATACAATAATAATTATTTTCAAAAATTTGGTTAGACTATTCAATTTTTATTAATTTCCTCCTCCTTACATTTGTCTCAGTCACAGCTTGGAGGCAACCTTCCACAAAAACTAAAAGTGAACATATTTTTGGAATGGTCCATTAACAATTATAATGGTCTGTTTCAACCCAATGAAAGATAAGGTTAAATTCTGCTTAATATGCATTCCTATGAAATAATTTTAATAAAAGAGATCATCAGATCTTGTTAATAAAGTATTTAAGGAATTCTTAAACTCTTGGAAATAATGTAGATAGTTGTAATTTGTTTCTAAGCAATAAGATATTTTCAATAGGCTATCTGTTGCACATTTGTAAATGGAAACATGCATATGTAAAAAGTAAAGGGTATGAACAGCAAATGAGTAGAATGAGAATTCAGAACCAAAATATAACTAATTTTATCACAACCCATCTAAAAATTCTGAAGTGTGATATTTACTGCAAGTGGCTGATTATCAAAAAGAAAAATAATGTTTATTTTAACAAAACAGTGATATATAATGAACTAGTTTACATTTGTATTGTATAATTTTTTTAAAAGACTTAATAAGTTTGTAACAAAAAATGTACTTCAGCTTCAGCTTCCGCTGAGATGGCCCCTTGTTTTACTTCTAGACATAAATGTAGCTTCGTTGAACTCTCCTTTTGCTTGTAATGGTAAGAATAGAGTTATGGGCGAGTTACTATTTTGTTAGCAATGCAGAAAAATTATACTTGCAATTCGTTTAGAGATGCAAATAAGTTTTCTATAACTCGGAAACAAAAATGTCTATTTTTTTCAAATATTGCTAATCTTGCGATTTTTTAAATTTATTTATGTTAAACTTTTATTCATCTTTCAACTATTTCTAGTTATTCAAGAAAACGTGCGCAGATAATCTTCTCCCCCTCACGTCACATACAGTTTTTACTGTTTTTTTTTTTTTTTTTTTTTTTTTTTT